CTAAATTTCCATCCAAGTATTTTTAACATTTAAATATGATAATTTCCCTAAGATAATTTGAGTTCCAAAAATTTCTAAATTTCTATCAAAAGATTTTTAACATTTAAATATATTTTTCCGTGAGACAATTTAAGTTTGGGAAATTCCTAAATTTCTATCGAACGATTTAAATATATATTTCCGTAACATAATTAATGTTCGGAAAATGCCTGAATATCTATCGAAAGATTTTTAAACATTTAAACATACTTCGTGCATACGCGCAGTCACCAAGGAAAGCATGGGAATCGAGGAGATCATCGGTGGAATCTGGGCCGCGATATTCCGCAGTAAAGGCTATCGCCAGCAATATCGCTGCCTCGCGTATGCAAATCAAAGGCTTCAGGGGTCCTCAGGAGATCGCGGAAATTTTGGACAGGTGTTTAGAATGGAATTTCGACATATTCAAACTGGAAATTCTGACAGAAAAAAGGTACCATTCACTCAATCGTACAATATTTCTTTTCATATTTATAAATCAATATTAAATATATTTAATTTTTCTACCTCGTGCAGACCATTACTCTTCCTTGGTATGACAGTCATGAACCAGTTCCGCGCTCCAGCCAGGTTGGGTTGCGAAGAAAAAATCGTGCAGAACTGGTTGACCATGATCGAGATGAATTATCAGGCTCAGAATGTTTATCACAATTCAACTCATGCTGCGGACGTGTTACAAGCCACAGCTAGATTCATGCAATCCGAGAGACTGAAGCAAATTCTAGAACCTTTGGATGAAGTAGCCACTCTAATCGCGGCTGCTGCTCATGACGTCGACCATCCAGGTAGATCCAGGTAAATCGAGAAACTTATTCCACCGGTCGATCAATGTTTCAACCGTAACACGGTCCTCGGGTCTTTTTTGACCCGTTTTTATTTTTATTCTTTTTAACAACTTTTGCTGTTACCAAGTTTAGGTTCCCTTAATATTATAGTAAAAGGTTTATTGTCTAGATTCACGTGGCATACCGGTGACCGGGTCCTTTTTGACCCGAAGATCTTAAGTTAAGAGGAAATATTTTAATTCGATCTCTCCGTTCTTTGAATTTCAGCCAATTTCTTTGCAACGCTGACGACAAACTAGCGATCCTCTACAACGATCTATCTGTACTCGAATCACACCATGCAGCGTTAACGTTCAAATTATCCTTATCGAACGACAATGTGAATATATTCAAAGTGAGTTCTAAGGGAAATTTCGATTCTCTAATCCTTTCGCTGCAGCACATTTTAATATACATTCCAATCTATCATATATATATACATATGTACTAAAATTTAATATACCGTTCCAATCGCGGCTGTAGAATCTTTCATTTTGCTCGCATCGTTTTCGAATTTATTTTATTGAATTAAGATGGACGTGCAGAAAGGGCAAAAATTAAGTTTCAAATTAGACTGAAATTCGGCGAAAAGTGAAAAGGCGCGCAACAGATCGTTGCCAAGAAATTTTCAAAGCGTCTATTGGCTCGAACAGCGATGAAAGGGTTAAATTGCACATTTTAATTTGAAAGAAGACGAATAAGAAAGGATTGTACGTTTAATATTCCACAGAATTTGGAAAGGGACACTTATAAACAGCTTCGTCAAACAGTGATAGACATGATCTTGGCCACAGAGATGACAAAACACTTCGAGCATCTAGCGAGGTTCATGAACATTTGCAGTTCAAGAATTGCGGACTATCAACAAGTAGGAGTAAGGACTCTACATATTTTCATTGTTTTCTCTTCTCTGTCGGACGCTATTTTCTCGTTTCCTTCTTCCGTTCGATTGTATATCAACTGTTTTCTCCAGTTGCTCATAAGAATATTACAGAATTACGTTTTTTTCTACTTGACATTAGGTACTGTTTGACGTTCTATTAATCTCCCTAAAATCTGAGTGCAGGCATACTCGGATACCGTGGATATGTCGGTTGTGTTACAGCCAGACAATGTGGTCTTGGTGAAAAGAATGATGATCAAGTGTGCGGACGTGTCGAATCCGACTCGACCGCTCAAGTGCTGCATCGAATGGGCCAGACGAATCACGGAAGAGTATTTCAGCCAGGTACTATAATTCAATTCTTCGTATTTTTTTTCGTGAAAATTCACTTTCTTCAACTCTTTAGCTGTTACTAGATCTTTTCTGGCGAAACGCCGTTCTTCATATTATTAAATTTTCTCCATGGAAATGATTATTTTAGTCAGGTACTACAAATTCAATTCTTCGTATTTTTTCGCGAAAATTCACATTCTTTAACCCCTTAACATATGACTTTTTTCTGACTACGCATGTAAGGATCAGCCAGTTAATATTTCGGTACTATATCAGGTAACAAAAGCTAATCTATTTACAGATTACCAACTAATCAACTCAGTCTTACAAATTAAAACAAAGTCAGGATTAAAATTAACTTTTCTTAGTAAGACAACTATTTTTGTCACATCTTGACCAGAATCTCTGCCACGAGTCTGACACGTTGTCATAAGCTAAGGGGTTAACCATTACTGGATCTTTTTGGACGAAACGCCATTATAGTGGCTCTCTTCTTTATATTATTACATTTTTGACACGGAAATGATTTTAGTCAGGTACTATAATTCAATTTTTCGTATTTTTTCGCGAAAATTCACATTCTTTAATCATTACTGGATCTTTTTGGACGAAACGCCATTACAGTGGCTCTCTCTTCTTTATATTATCAAATTTTTTCCATGGAAATGATTTTAGTCAGGTACTACAGTTCAATTCTTCGTATTTTTTCGTGAAAATTCACTTTCTTCAACCCTTTAGCTGTTACTAGATCTTTTCGTACAGAAAGCCATTATAGTGGCTCTCTCATCAGATCTTTTACACGGAAATATATAAAAATATTTTTAACTTAATC